GCAGGCCAACCTTTGGTCAACTTTCAGGTTTGTTTCAGATCAAAGTACCCTAGGTATTTTTTTTTTTTTTTTTTTTTAATGATCCTACAGTGATACTGTGTGTCGTCTTCTGTACCCAATAGCATGTTTTTCAAGTGCAAAATACGTACAGATGAATTTCTGCAGTTTGGTCTAAGTTTTGACAATAACATAGTATTTTATACTGAGTGACAAAGATCATGTTTTTTGTGTACCTGTGGCTTGTCTTGTGTTTTTTTTATTCCAGAAGGCCTACATCTAGAAAAAATTCTACAGTATGATCCTAAAAATGTTGTTAATACTGACATCATCTCTGACATAAAAAAAAAAAAAAAAAAAACTTGCTCTGCTCATTAAAAGTATTAGCAATAAAAATTCCTGTAAGAAAGAATCTAGTTTGGACATTTAAAAAACACAGTATCTTTTTTCTTTTCTCCCAATCTCTTTCCTTTATATGTATCTTTAAGTAAAAAGTTTAAACCTTAAAAGTAAATCACAGATTTCTCCTTTACAAGGAAAAAAAACGTTCTGCATAAATGTTTGGAATTACCTTGTGGCCACTTTCCACCCACTCATTTTTGTATCCATGGAACATTGTGGCTTATTTATACTTGGCAAGAAAAAGACCTATCTGACTTTCTTTAAACTGAAGATTAACATAGTTCAGAAGTATCCACAAAGGTCAACAAAATACCGAATCAGTGGTGCCTTGGCATTGCTCTAGCTGGATAATCCTCATATTCTAAAATAATTCAAATGAGAAATTTTCCAGAACAAAACAGAAAGTATTGTACTTGCCATTGAATTTGCTTTTTAATTTGTAATGCCTATGCAAACTGAGCTATAACATAGCTGGATGGTATGGTGGTCTGCAAAGGGAGAGTTCAAAAGAAGTTATTGAGAGCAGGGTCAGAAACACAGAATGTCTCAGACCAAACCAAAGTCATTGGAGCTGCAAGATGCAAAACCTTGTCTCTTTGCGGGAGTCACAAGTCACTCATGCTTACAGGAGTATGCACTGGGTGCCCTGTTACGCTATAGTGACATTTAATCAGCTCTTTTCCTTATGTACAGAAACGGTGGTGGCCGGAGTGGGATGTTCTGTGCCATCGGCATTGTGGTTGAGATGGTAAAAAGGCAGAATGTGGTTGATGTTTTCCATGCTGTGAAGACTTTGAGGAACAGTAAACCCAACATGGTAGAAACTCCGGTAAGCAAAAAAAAAAAAACAAAAAACATCAGAATTACTACAGATGGCCAGGGAGACTTGTCTTCTGTGAGCTGCATGCAGTATTGTGTCCATAAATCAAAGCAACCTATGTGGGACTTCAGCTAAGAGAAGAAGGTGTCCTGTCTTTACACCCCCTTATTGTAGTACATATTGAGCAGAGACTGATCTGATTCTTAGTGTGAGCATAAAGTTCAGAAACATTATAACTTATGGTGGAAATTTATTGTGTGTACACATTAGTCAGCATCACGAGAGGCCAGGCTAAGTTTTTATGCTACTTGTCTTGTAGTGATACTGTTACTTTCACAGGACATTCTCATTTAACAGCTGATCTTTAATTTCTCAAAAGAACCTGGACTATTAGAGTAGGAATTGTGGCACATTGTGCTCACAGAAGCCATCCTGAAATTTCACAGAGCAAGGCATTTCTTCTTGGTAGGAAGAAGCTGTAAAGGAGATCCGTATATTTTACCTCTTTATAATAACTGCTGTTTTGGAAGCTATCTTGAATAATGCTAGTGTTTGTTACTCTACCCTTAGTAGTCAAAAATGATACCTCAGCACTTAAAAATCAAAGACTATTGGATCTAGTATGGAAATACATAAACAACATAAGCCTGAATTAGCAAAGCCACAAGATGAAACAAAGTATTTGTATGTACATTGGCAGAACTCAAAATGACCTTCACTCTTCTGGTGAATGTGTGTGTATACATGAATGCATATCTGTCTGTCTAATCACTTCAGTCACCAAAACTGAACGTCATGGAAAGTGCTTAAAAATTCCTCTGTCTCCCAAATGCATTTTTTTTTCCTCCTTGTAGCTGAATGTGAAAGCAGGTTAGACAGTGCTTTGGTGCTTCTGCCATTTGACTCTCACACTGCCAGAAGCCAGTGTCACTTTCCAGCCAGATGGCTGCCTACAGCATAAAATTCAGGGATGCCAATTGGAATTAAAAATGTTTTGCAGTTTATACGTCCTGAAAATTGCTTCTGACCTTGTGAACTTGCATATTGAGCAAAATGGCTGTAGCTGTCTTTTCCTACACTGCCCTTTTTCCAGGTGTCAGTGCTTGTTTAGTATCAAGTAGCTTCTGTGGCACGTTTTGCTTAATTAATGTGTATCACTTCCATCCATTGCTCCTGCATAAATTAAAAAATGGTTAACATGTTAACAACTAGAACATATTGCAGCAGCAGTAACATTGGTCTAGGTATTGCTTGTTTTGCTGCAAATACTTTACAATCTGCTGTGCTATAGACTTCTGAGATGCAACATATTGAATTGCTGCCTGGATTTCAGTTCACTGCTGTGAGGAAAACTGGTCTGATCACATGGAAAATTACTCGTGTCACTGTAAAGAGAGGCCAAGGTAGATTGTCTGTGTTTCTGATAAATGGTCTGAAAACTTATATTTAATTTCAAAATAGTCATGAATTCCAGTGCAGTTTTCATTTGCAGATATTGAATTTCTGTAGTTATGTATTTCTGTGCTTTGTGGGTTTTTATTCAGAACTCTTGAACAGCAGCAGCTGTTGAGTCATTAGTTAGAAAACAAACCAGGAAAACCAATATACAACATTGTCATGTGCCCTAAATTCAGCAACATGATCAGATAACACAAAAGAGCAGCACAATAAAACCTTTAAGATATCCCTACCATTTCCTGCTAATTGATCACAGTGGCTTACTTTGAAACAAAAAATGAATCACAAAAGCAGATTTGTTTTGTTTAGTGGTAAGGACAATAGGGATTGAGTTCATTTCTTGTTTTGTCTTCTTGCTGCTTTCTCCTCTCTCCTCCCTCTCCCCAAGTACCAGTTCTGAACAGCAGGATTGTTATAGGAAATACTAAGTATGTTGAACTTTTAAGCTCTAACTTCTGTTTTAAATGTGCATTCTTATATCCTGGGCATTACATCAGAGCTATTGAAAAAATGTAGACCCAGGGCAGCATGGTGCCATAGTTCAGTATTCCTTAGCTGTCCAAGCAGTAGTTACCTGCTGAATATCAGCTAACTTGCATGTAAGTGGTGTTTCAGAGTTGAGCAGCTTCACTGCAAGAATGTTCTGGCTGATAGGAGGGATTCTCATGTTTGATAACCGGTTCAAAAGCTGAAAAAATTGGAGAAGTAAATCATTGCATTTCATGGTCAGGTTTATTTCTTTATATTTCGTTGGTTATGGTTTGTTTATAAGTCAGAGCTGGTAATACACTTGTGTAATAGAGGGGTGAAAGAAGAAAAGTGAAAAGTGGAAAAAAAAGGAACCCAACCCAAGTGTGTCAGTCTTGAATTTAAAATTGTTTAGTAGTCAGAAAAGGCTATTCTTGTTTGTAGTCATTGCCGCTCTTTAATGATTTAGAACATCAATTTAACTTTTTCTCTATTACTTTTTTCCCTTTCTCCCTTAAAGGAGCAGTATCGCTTCTGCTATGATGTTGCACTGGAGTATCTGGAATCCTCTTAGTTGGAATGGATGTGACAAAGTTCACCAAATATCTGAATCTCATTACGCTGTTTTGACAACAGTTCTTGATCCTGTGAAGAAAGATTTTAAGGGAAGAGGGGGGAGGGGGGATTTTAAATTTTAAATGCAAAGTATTTTTCTTATGAAGTTGTGTATCTTAATAAAAGAATTCAATCTGTTTCTATGCTTGTATACAGTATCAACATTTAGTGCCACATAAATACTATTTAATGAAAACCAGAGTCAGAAGAGATTTGCGCAAATTAGGACTTTTCAGTGTTTGTATATGCAGCCGTCTCTCAATTACAGTAGAGCGACCATCTGTTGCATGTATCAATATTTCCTATATAGTATTAATTTTCTTTTTTTTTTTTTTCTTTTGATACATTGTTAAAGTACAATAACAGTGCAGATTGATAGTAAGGTTCATTCTTTATACGTTTCAAGTGTTGCATATATATATTATATATAGTTTAAAAAAAAAAACTGGCTTATTTTGTTTTAATGTGCAATGATGGCTGGATCACATAAAGATCTTTATAAAGAAACTTAAACATAAGCCAAAGACTCAAGTGTAAATATGTCTATATGGAGAAAGCACATGTATTTATTGTTTACTCGCATTCCTTTTTTGATGGCTGAAAAAAAGAAGAATCATTTTTCTTGAAGAAAGCTTTTTTTGCTGAAATCAAGTGTAAACAATTTTTGTAGTTTATTTTTTGTATGTTTAGTGTAAGTAGAAGACATACTTTTTATGCATAGACCAAGAAACATTGGTATGGTGGTTTTGTTGTGTACATGCCTGTGAATCAGATCCATGTAAACAATTATAGAAGGTCTTTAACCACAGGACCAAAATCAAAACATTTTGCTGAAAATGTATAGTTTTTCACATTTGCATTAGTTAAATACTGATTAAAATCTGTGGAAGGAAGGGTGCTCATCAAATCGACCTTGCCTGTGACTTGCACATCATTGGAAGAAATTTTTAAGCACCGTTAGAGTTCTAAGGGATCCAATTGTTTAGAAAGATACTGAAGCACAGATCAACAGGAGAACTGTCAAGCAAATAGGTGGTGGCTCTACAAATGCCCTTTAGTGCAAAAAGCATTTGTTTAACAAATTGTAAAAATAAGCAATGTTTATTTTGATGTTTACGAACATGTACGCTTTGCTTCCAAGAAAGCAAAATTTGAATAAACCAAATCCAGATTCTCATTATACTTGTGGTGTACAAAATATTACTTTGCTTTTGCTTAGCATGTATCTATTTGTTCAAAAGCTTTCCTATATCTCATCAGCTAAAATCATTTCAGTCTCTTGTTGGTCTTTTTTAGAACTGACAGTAAAATGATAAGGTGCTTATAAATATTCTGTAAAGTAAGAGCGAATTAAACTTTTATTTAAAGATTATTTTTTTATTATTTCCTATTTTAGCAAGCTCTCACTGTCCTTGTTAAGGAGTTGTACTTGTGTGAAGATAGATATATTTGGATAAAGAAGATCTCAAAAAGAAATTGTATTATTTTTCACTTCAGCATTTCAGGGAGTTTTTGAAAAGACTCTATATCATATGCATGAAAACCAGTGCATTAAAGTTTGTTTCTTTACTTGAGGAACATGGAATTACCCTTCTAAAACTGTGGCAGAGAAATGTTTACAGGAATTTTTTTTCTCATATTTTTTCAAAGCTCCTGTCTGTATTGTTTACATCTCTACCTGTTCCAGATCTTTAAAAAAATCATTTTCTTTTGTTGTGCAATGGTAGTTCCTGCCTATGAAAGTAAACAAATTGGGTTTGAAAAAGTTCACTGAGTCTCGGTACTCAAAATTACTCTATTTTTTGCCATATTGGAAAGGAAATTTTAGTCTTCATGGAATGGAATGATAATGTTCTCAACTTTATCTGTAAGGCCATGGCACATGGCTCTCAAAAAGCTTCATCAAGCTCTCTGCTCTCCCTCTTCTGTGGAGACAACAGAGCATGTCCACAAACAGATTCATCCTGCATGTTTTAGGTATTTAATGGGGTTAAGTGAACTGGGTTCTGGAAGAACCTTCCTCCTTACCCTTAAAGATTGCTGAGAAAACTATATTACTCTAGAAGTCTAGACTAATGTTTTGACAGATGAGATGAGCTGCTCTTAGGGCTGTGGAATGCAGAAACTAAATTCCATACTGATGGCAGTGATTTTCTTTATTTTTTCTCTCCGGACCAAAAATGTAGCATTAGGCTGAATGAATAGTTAACTTTCATAGAGAGCTCCTACATGAGGGATCATAGGGTCAGTCCTCACTAGAAGTTCAAACTCCTCGCTAAGCAATTTGTGTCCTATTTCCAAGGTGCACCAAGCAAGAATGGTGCGTGCACAAACATGAAGCTGGGCTTTGCAGCATACTTGAGCAGAATGGTGCCTGCATGGGAGACCTCAGTCTCCATCAACTACAAGGTATTTCAGGTGATTGTTCTGCAAACTCTGTCTATGTTGTTTAAGTATTATGGAAGTGAGTGTAATTTCTGACTAACTACATACCTGACCTGAGGAGCTTTGCAATAGCTCATGAAAAACCTGCAGGAAGTTCTTGCTTGTAAGATTAGGGAAAAGTAAGCAGGGGGAATGCAGAGTGTGAAAAGCACCTCAGAAAAACCATTCACCAGTAGGTGTGTCAGTATCTTGGGGCTTCTTAAGCAGAATGCAACATTATGTAGAATCACCCATTTCACACAGGTTTAGAGAGAATTGGTGCTATTTTTACATCGAAAGTAAACATGAAGTTTGAATCTTAGTATGCTCAGTATATGCAAGCAGTTACCTCAATTTATTTCATTCAAGAGGTCACTCAGAAAACAGTTGTGTAGTCTAAATAAGTCCTTGCCTCGCCCAAGGTGCCAGATTAAGAAACATCACAGAAATATGAAAGTAAACGCTGCTGCGGGAGTATGGCATTTCAATTTTCAAAATCCGAGATCTAAAAATGCCAACAAAGGGAGCAATGGTAGGCAAGAGTTATGCCACTGAGCCTACAAAGTGAATTGATATGTTGAAAGACAAGAAAAGGGCAGTCTGAGAAAAATTGTTGCAGACTCATTGCGCGGCCAGGCCACCTGGACCGACAAATGACCACATAAAGGGCCTTTTTTAAGGTTCATTCTGCTGCTTTGTCAGAGGAAACCCAGAGATCTCACAATAAATGTAAAAGCTGCTTTTATAGTGCTCTGCTCTGTGCTGAAAACTAACTCATTTTCTGCTGTACTTTCCTGTGTCACATAGAGGTCTGAACTGAGTTAAGTGATCCTAATCTCACAAAGGAGCTTTTGTGGTGTTTTATTGCTGGTGCTCTTCCTTTGTTAAACAGACAAAGGTCTCTAACCTCTGTAGATCCAGGATTGTCGAGGATAGCTGTGAATATTCACTTATGTCTTTACCTCTGGACTTGTATATCTGTTAGCAACAGCTCTGTATACAGAGGATGGCTTTCAGAATATGCAAAGGTTTCGTGTCTTAAATTTGCCTTCAGATAAATGCAGCAAAAACATTGTATTTATGATTTCTTTTAATTAGAACATCCTTTCAAACAGAAAGAATGGCAATGTAGTAGTGTTTTTGAATTATTTTAAACTTGTGTAAAAGTTGGTGATAGCTGACAGGCGTGTTAGTTTGCCCCACTTTTCTCAGAAATTAGTCTGTTTCTATGCTACTGGGTTTAGATTCCTAATTCTGCAAAGATTGACATGCATGATGACAGGCACAATAGGATCCTTACCTAATAGTAATGTTTATTAACTGTGTCTTGGCCAGCAAAGAACAGGTGCTTTTGTGCCACACTGAGTTGCAAAAGCTGATTTCTGTTGACGTTCATAACCCTTTCTGGCTTCCATCTGGGTCAGAAAACAGTTCTGTGTTGACGAATTATATCAAGATAAATTTGAAAACCCCATATGCTCAGAGATTTTTCACATCTCCACTAAATAAGCAGGAGAAAGAAGAAAAAGAAAAAGAATAAAAAAGAAAAACAAAACAAAACAAAAAACAGTGACAAAGCCCATCTTCTGAACCTGGAGCCAAAACATGATATTTTCCTGCAGGCATTGGAATATCCTGGAGTTCTTTGGTAATGAGCATGAAATGGTATCTGGCAAAACTCAGTAACTCCAGATTTTGATGTGTGTACTTTTGTGCCAGGTGCAAAGCAGTGTGAGGTCTTCGCATTTCATGGTGGAAAACTTTGATCTTTCATTTTTGAGCCTGACCATTTGTAGAGCAGGAACTGAAGTGACACAGTATTTTTCCAAGTCCTGAAACTTTAAGGAAAGTTATTGTCTGTTTGCACTCCAATAGCGAATGTGGAACTGGAGATTATAGTTGTAGTAGTTATATAGTTAGATATATAAGATTCTCTCCTGAGGTAAGCAGATTGAGTTGTTTTCTGTAGCGACTGTGAGAAATGCACTCAAGATCAAAAATTTCTTATCAGGCAAAGATCTCTGTGAAAAGCAGTTTATCATTATTGCAATAATGGGCGCCCACCCCCTACTGACAAAGGAGAAATTGCGCAACTAGTCAGTGAAATCCATTCTGTTATATACCCTGGGTCCGACGCAGGTAGAATCTCTCCTGGCACTCATTGGTTGAGTGTCTCAGGCTTACAGTCTTCCAACGCTGTTGCTACATTACACTTCCATAGCTATGCTACACTTCCTTTGCTACATTATGCTTCCATAGCTACGTTACCCTTCCATAGTTACATTAAACTTCCATACAATGTCTGTTACCAATCCATTGTCTTTGGGTATGTTCTGTACTTTTTATGGCGATAGGAGGACAATATTTTAAACAATCTGCACACTAGTTCTATTCTGTACTGGACTCTCCCCTACACTATGTAATTACCTTACCTAGTGCCTGTGCCAGTTTTACCTAGGTCGGAACGCCCCAGTCTCAACTTTACTCTGTTCAGTACCTTCCTTTGTGAAAGGTAACTTATCCTATGCTACATACAGAAATACTGGAAATTTCCACTGCAAAAACACAATCTACCTCTCACACAACCACAAAGCCTAATTAAGATAAGCTTCAGAAAAGTTTTGAAAGATGCTTATTGTGCTAAAAATTGTTCTTGTGGACCTCAGTCCCAACAGGTGAAATCCAGTTCATTTGCAGACAAGGACATACGGGTAAAGGTCTCGTTAGCCAGGTTTCATTAGCATTTCTGATCCACTTGCTGTATCAGTGAGTAGACACAATATGCATCCAGACCAACACTCTGAATGATCTGTAGCACAGACTCTGGTGCTGTAGCTCTTTTCTGCAGTTTCAGGATGGAGTTGTTATGAAACTTGCTGATGGTACAGAATAGCAACACAAAATTGCCTCCATTTACTGAAAGTGCTTGAAACCACCTGCTGAAATGGTACATGCATTCATTTTGAGTTAGGTAGAAATCACAGGCTTAGGAAGCTGTGGCACTGCTGCAACTTTTTCTATTGCACAAAATTGTATCATTGAAGCTTCAGTTGATGCAGTTTAAACTGTTAAACAGGTTAGTGCTTAGCTTCATCTTCTGAAATGATCAAGGTTTCCAGCTTACCTTGCATTAAGAAATACGGCAGTGTTTCAGCAGCACTTCCACAGGTCAGACAACTTCAGGGATGAGGATAAAAGTGGAGCATAAAAGCACTAGGCACTGTATAGGTTCATCTAATATTTCTCCTCCAGCAAGATGAGATGGTTCAGCTAGTGTGACAGTGAGCTGTAATTACAGCTGTGAGAAAATAGCTGTGTGGTTTTGTCTGTGGCAAAGACTATATATAATATATATATATATATATAATCGTGTTTGTTTTTTTTTGTTTTTTTGTTTTTTTTTTTAAGAGCAGTGTAGAAGTGCAGGCTTTGTTTCTACTTCAGCATGCCTTCCTTTCAGGTACTTGTTTGCTTCAAATAATAGTCTCACTTAAAAACCCTTTTTAAGATGATAGTCCTTTAAGTAGTCAGTCACAGCCCATAGCACTCTCTGTGCTCAAAACACAAGTAAGCCGCACAGATATGATAGATAGATGCTATATTGCTTTCAAGGAGGAACTGCAATGCCTTTTCATAAGGGGAGTTGTAGCCTTTGTGGAAGAGAAAGAGGTAACCTGTGAACTGGCTGGGGCTAGCAAGAGGATAGGAACCTCATTCTCCAGTTGTTTGAGCAGCAGCATAGGTTTTGGATGTAGCATAGACAGGATGAAGAGTATAAGAACTGAGAGAAAATGGGGACTTCCCCAAAGGCTACAGATAGGAAATGGAAGAATAAAAGTTCTGAACTCCTCAGTCAGTGAAAAATTTTCAGAGTGTGTGCTGTGGCTGTGATCAAGCAAGGTTGAACATATGATATGTGTCGCTGTGGATTAATAATACTGAGTAAGGAACAAAGCCAAGAAAAGGAAAGTGCAGTTTTTGTGAGCAGCTCCTACAGTAAAGGAGAGATCAATGTGTCATGAAAGAAAAAAAAATTCCCCCAGATGGGCTTAGAAGAGGCAAGAGGCTTGAGGAGCAGTTCATACAGATCATTTCATGGCCAATGACATCCACTTGGTATTAGGACTCAGGCAGTTAACAGCCTTGAAACCCACAAGGTGCAATGTTTGTGCTACTATAGTTCTCATTGTTCATCAAGAAAATGAGCAGAAAACAGTGTTATGATGCTGTAATCATTCAGATAATCTATATCTTAATTTTCAGGACAGGGAACAAATGAAATGTAAAGTAAATTTGACAGTAAGTTACAGCTCAGGCATGATTCCACAGGACGATCAGCTCCTAGTCTACTCTTATTCAAGACCCAAATGTGGCCAAACAGTGTATGTGAGCAGAGTGAAGCAATGTGTACTGTGTTTCAGTAGTGGCACCAGCGATGTGAAAGATAAACCATGTTCTGGATGGCCATGCAGATTTTTAAGAGTATAGCATGCAGGTTCTTGTTCATGGTTGGCAAAAATGCATAGCTATCAGTGGTGATCATGTTAAAAATATTGTTTTGTAGCTAAGTTTTCTCTATCTAATAGCATTGTTACGCTCTTTGTATCTGCTGTATTTTCCAGGGGAATAAATTGGAGGCATTACTTTCAGAGCAACCTACGTGGTTTTAGTTCTGTTTTGTTCTCCCTTTCTTCGAAAAAGAAAATGTAAACTCTGAGAAAATCAAACAGAACTCAAGACTGTGGGTGAGAGAGGAAGCATTTTGGGATAGCCTGCTGAGGCACAGCTGCTTGACCACGGCCTCAGAGGAGCCATCATAAAGGAAGGTTTCAGAGAGACGAGGAATTCTGAGTGTCTTGAAAACAGTTTGGTAAATGGAATATCTTCAGAGTCCTACATCACTCAGTGTCTGGGGAAAGTGACAGAGTTCAGGTGGGGGAGGAGCACATGCTCCTGCAAGTTATTTATTTGCATTTACAGTCCAGCGCACCAAAATAAAAGTTGAACAAACAGGTGGCCCTGAAGAGGATAAAACATGAGAATTTATTGATGATAGAAATATACATTTTCTGTTTCTCTACTTTTAGGTCTTCAACACCTACTTGATCATACAACAACTCATTGCAGTATCATGAGCTGTGCTTGCTCTGCTCGTTACCATGAGTTTCTCAAGGAGGTATCTTTTCTAGAGTTGTCAAAGGCCACAGAAATATTTAAGAAGGACAACTGTTAATCTTTTGCATTCCCAGAATAACATAACTTCTCATATGTACTTGGTTTTGCTCTTCTTCCAGTGGCTTTAGTACATGACTGGGATCCAGCAAGTGGATACTGCCCTTTCAAATTATGGTTTATGCTGTTTAATTTTAGTTTTCCAATTCATGTTTTCTCTACTGTTTTTAACTCCTCTGCTCTTTATCTTCTACATCTTCACACAAGCCAAAGCTAGCAGCAGGGATGGGACATAATGTTATTTCCACCATGCATTCTGACCTTTTGTTAGAAAAGATTTCAAGGAATATTTTAAAAATTTGCAGTAAATGGCTGAACACAATGCAGCCCTGAATTATATTACATTATGTAAGATCAATTAGTGCCCTGAAATCAAGCTTCCTACTGTTTGTAATTCAAATCTGGTGAGTGTGTTGAACTGAAACAAAAACTTAATTGCAAAGTGATACAACTGCAACTTTACTTTTGTTCCTCTGAGTGCTTTTCAAGTCAGGGAGGAGGTGGAAAATCCTGATGCTTTCCAGTTCTTGAAAGGTCTGTGGGCTTTAAAAGCAGTATGCAGAAGCTGTGCAGAGAAAGGTTTGGTTGGTGATGAGCTGAAGTATGTTTCATTTGAAGAAAATGATTTACTTAGATATGTATGGGAAGGATCAGTTAACTCAGTAGAAGATTTTAGGTTAAGGGACAGGAAATTCAGATTCTGGTCATATGTATTCTGGTGTGTATGGTATAACCAGCTTTGTACCCATGGCAGTTGCTGGATAATGTCACAATTAAGCAGTTTTGAAATAAAACTTTTAACTAATGAAGGAATTGTGGCAATAATAATAATAATAATAATTTTCACACCTGCAGCTTCCAATAATGTTACTTTAACTGGTATACACAAGGAAGCTGAGAGAGGGTCTCTCATCTCTTTGCTGTGGTGCTGGGTTAAATCACATTGCTCCTGGACAGAATTCAGACATGCAGTGGTCTAGGAAAACCATAACTGTCCAATGTAAGTTGAGACACCCCAACTTACAAGCATCTCTTGAGCTGATTGGTCTTTTCACTACTGTCCAAGCAAGAAAAGAGGTTGATCCCAGGATATGGGCATACTGAGGAGTGCCCATCATAGGGAAGGTTGGATGAACAAAGGGATCTGCTTACCTGCTGGTTTCAACAAGCTGTGCAGAATGCTCAACTGTGTGTTAAAGACAGAAATCAACAAATTTTCTCTGGAATAATTGTTCAACCTTGGGCTGATTTTTGGTGAAACTCTGCTTGTTTTGATTTTTTTAAATTCTCCTATGAAGAGTTCAAGTGTTTGGATTGGATGCTTTTTTACCATCTTTCTCTCATGTAATATATTATATCTTCCTTGAAAATCTTGTCTTTGACCACACTGATCTTTGTAGATGAGCAGAGAATGGATTGCAGAAAAGAAATGAGAAGAATATGTTATTCTGTTGTTGTAAGATGGACTTTGGTGTAAATGACAGCTTTCCAGATTTCATCCTTTAGATGTGGGAAATCTGTTTGGATTTGTATTTGTTGACATAAAGCTACAAGCACATTTATAAATACATTCTTCAGAGAGATGTGAAGGGAGATGTAGCCTTTCATTTTTCAAAATGAATCTGTTTATTTGTGCTGGCTGTTACTTAGAACTCATAATGTGGTCAGAACCAGAAGGTCTGGGATGCTGTAAGGCCCCACGGGCTCTCTGCACCCTCTGGCTCAGGGTCCCCAGCATTATGGTGAGGAGGAGGATCCAACTGTTGTGCTGTATGCTTTACCCAGGAGAACATGTGCTAGGAACACATTGAAGGAGATGCCCAAGGCTCAGAAATGCTCTTGGATGCCAAACAAATGTAGATGTAACAAAATGAAAGGAAGATGAAAGGCTGGCAGAAAGACTTAAAGTCCAAAGTGAGAGCCCCAGGATGTTTCCTTACGGACCGTTTGAAATCTTAGATAATTTAAAGGTAATTTGTGGAGAAGTATAATGCAAGAGGGCTTTGGTAGGGTTATAACAAATGTTCATATTACAGTTCTGCCTATAACAAGAAATGGATGTAGTATATGCTCTTCAGTAAGTTACCACTATAGATAAGAAGCAGAGAGATTTGTTTAATTTTGGAAAGCAGAAAAGACGGGTGAGAAACTGATGAAGAATCCGGAGTGATTATTTTATTAGGAAAAGAGAGGAGTTAGAGAAGCATTAGAGAAGTTAGAGAAGTTCTTCAGAGAAGCTACAATAAATATGGCCTAAGGATCTTCAAGAAAAAATAAATACATTTTACAGTCTTTTTGTACCATGTTCTGGTAAAGAGCCCTTTCCTCCTCCATAGCTGGAAAGTCAGTCTCACTGAACAATTCAGGAAATACATTTATTTTGCAGCTCTAAAAGCTTAATTTTTTTTGCAGTGGGAAGCATGCTGTGTTAGTACTCTCCCTGTTTGTTGTTATCTGCCACAAATATGAGGGTTTAGGGAGTGATGCTGGCTAGCAGCCATCAAGATCATTCCCCTCTTGTGTGAGGTAGAGAACTGAATGTGTGCCATCACTGAGGAATTTAGGGTGCTTGTGGCGATGGCTGTGATTATGTTAATGGTACCAGGCAGGCAGGAGAAGACAACATTCTGATCTTGGGAAGGGAGAAATAGGTCTGGAAGAGGAAAAGAGGGGAGAACTTTTTTCTGCTTGGTGTGAAGCAAATATATGTTGTTTATGCTGGACCCAGATTTTTTTTTTTTAATGGCTTTTTGTGAGTGTGTGTGTGTGTGTGTACTTTACTCTCTCTCTCTTTTTTTTCTTTAAGAATTAGTACGCATTTAACTGCACTCTTACCTGAAAGCAGAAAACTTTGTGATTGACAAGTAAAAAAAGCAAACATATGACACAAACAACAGAATTATTGTATTTGTGTCTATGCCAAAATACAGACATGTCCTGGCCTCCAACCCTACTGCCCAGGGGATGAGGAGTGGTGAGAGGAGACGAGAACTCCCTGGGTGCTCTCTTCTCCCAAGGGCTAAAACTCTGGCAGGTGCCAGCCTGAGAGCCTGGCTGCCTCTTACAATAAAATCACCCTCTGGCCTT